TCCGTAAGTGTGGAGAAAACCAGCAAAAACTGAGATAAAATAAATAATAATAATCTTCAGGACAATTCACACAGCGCCATCCAGACCCAAGTTAAGCTAGCTAAAGCTTGTGTTATGGGCACTAGATAACTGATACACATACATAGATATTTTTTTATGTAAATACATACATATTATACATAGAAAACACTCAGACCGATACAAACAATCATACACATTAATACAAATGTTTGTGCCGTGCGAGGAATCGAACCTGCGACCATCGGTCGTAAAGCGATGTGCTAGACCGCTAGACCACCGAGGTCGTCAAATGTTAAACAATGTTACTTAAGTTAAGTTTTAAGAAATAAATGTTATTCTTAATCTTGTTAGAGTTACTAGTTTAAATGTAATAGAAATAATCGTTAATAAAAAATGAAGAAATATTGCAAAGGGTTAAAGAAAAGAGACAGATCATAAATATAATTGAGAATAAGCGGGAATAATGTTGGGACATTTAATACGATATGAACAACTTATGAATAATATTATAGAAGGAAAAATATAGTAAAGAGAGGAAAGTAAAGACTAAGACACAGCTATCGTATATCAAGCTAATCTGCTTGATATACGAAGTATTAAAAAGAAGGAAAAAGTTGAAAAGACTCCAACTTTTTCCAAAAAAGATTGATAGAAGATCGTGGAAAATGGCAAGAGCTCAACCGACAAGAGTGCGGATTTTAAGTTATGAATGAATTAAGAAATAATCTTATAGTAAAGAGCGGAAAGGAAAGACTAAGACACAGCTATCGTATATCAAGCTAATCTGCTTGATATACGAAGTATTAAAAAGAAGGAAAAAGTTGAAAAGACTCCAACTTTTTCCAAAAAAGATTGATAGAAGATCGTGGAAAATGGCAAGAGCTCAACCGACAAGAGTGCGGATTTTAAGTTATGAATGAATTAAGAAATAATCTTATAGTAAAGAGCGGAAAGGAAAGATTAAGACACAGCTATCGTATATCAAGCTAATCTGCTTGATATACGAAGTATTAAAAAGAAGGAAAAAGTTGAAAAGACTCCAACTTTTTCCAAAAAAGATTGATAGAAGATCGTGGAAAATGGCAAGAGCTCAACCGACAAGAGTGCGGATTTTAAGTTATGAATGAATTAAGAAATAATCTTATAGTAAAGAGCGGAAAGGAAAGACTAAGACACAGCTATCGTATATCAAGCTAATCTGCTTGATATACGAAGTATTAAAAAGGAGGAAAAAGTTGAAGACTCCAACTTTTTCCCAAAAAGATGGATGGAAGATCGTGAAAAATGGCAAGAGTTCCACCGACAAGAGCGCGGATTTTAAGTTATGAATGAATTAAGAAATAATCTTATAGTAAAGAGCGGAAAGGAAAGACTAAGACACAGCTATCGTATATCAAGCTAATCTGTTTGACATACGAAGTATTAAAAAGAAGGAAAAAGTTGAAAAGACTACAACTTTTTCCTAAAAAGATGGATGGAAGATCGTGGAAAATGGCAAGAGTTCCACCGACAAGAGCGCGGATTTTAAGTTATGAATGAATTAAGAAATATTTGTTCAAATAAACTCAATGTACTTTTGAATAGTCACATTTTTCATTCTACAATTATTCGATTTTACCAACTTTGACCGCGTCATTTGTTCACCGGGGTAAAATTAGTCCTTCCAGTAGTAACTGAAGCCTAGACTTTGTACGATGTCGTCTCGTCATTAAAGCTAGCTGTGGGGATCATGTCAAATAATTCTTCAGAACACAGTCCGTTGTATATTCGGTAGAACACACAAGACTGAAGACGTCCACTGCTGAACAAAGGCATGCAAAGTCTCGCGTCAAGCTTGACGCTTGCTGGTTCGATACCGCTTGAGAGATTAGGGTCATCGACAATTTGGATTAGATAATTAAAATTAATATTAAGAATCATAGTAGGCAGTCCACACCCTAGTAAATATATAAATAGCCATAATATTCTAAAGCAAACGCTTATGACTTGGACCCAATTAATATCCGAGAGCTAACCATCCCTTTGTTCCTACAGCAAAACGGAATTCCGTCTCTATACAGAACGTAACGACCAATAGACGTTTTTTTTTAATTTCTTTGAGTGACTATAGTTTATAATTACTTATTTATTATTTATTGCATTATTTAAAATAATGTACAATTGGCGAGCTTAATGACATATGACATTCTCTACCTGCTAACCATTGGGTAAAAACAGAAAGCGGTTGAAGGGCAGTAATGGGAAAAGGCATACTACCTTACCTTTTTTTTTATAACACAGGGGACAAACGAGCATGCGGCTCACCTGATGGTAAGTGATTACCGCCGCCCATGAGCACCCGCAACACCAGTGGAATTGCAAGTACGTTGTCGGCCTTTTAAAAAGGAATAAGCTCTTTTCTTGAAGGTTTCAATATCGTATCGGTTCGGAAATACCATTGCTGGAAGGTGATTCCACAATGTGGTTGTGCGAGGCAAAAAGTTTCTAGAAAACCGTACTGTGGAAGACCGCCATTCATCCAGATGATCAGGATGGTATTTCAGTTTCTGGCGGGTGGTACGGTAAAACCTAACTTAGGTATATACATATGTCAATAGTAATATACTTACATAATATATACGTACTTAAATACTTGCTATAATAGGTACTATATATATACAAACATACAACACACACAATTACGTAGAAGAAAATTATATGAGCTAATGTCATCAGAGAGAGTCATGCCTTGTTTTTCACTCTGCTGGTGCCCCGCTAACGTTAATACAGTTTACGTTAGTGCAGGGGGCTGTTTACATCATTCCATTATCTTACTAATATTATAAATGCGGAAGTTTGTGAGTATGGTTGGATGGTGGGATGTTTATTACCATTTCACGCTAGACCAACTGGGCTCGCGTGAAATGGTAACAAACAATTACAATTAATTTGATTTGATATGGATGACTAACTAGTCAAATCAAATCAAAAATAATTCATGTAGGACATTTTAGCCGTGTATGAACATCCAGTTTTTTGTATTATTATTTTTTCCTACCGTCCGGTTCCAAATACAAATTCAATTGAGAAGAACTGGCAGAGAACTCAATTGTATTTCTTTTTTTTTAAGCCAGTTTATTTACGTTATGTACATATAGGTGTCTATGTCTAACAATAAATGAAAATCCCGTGCATTAACAACTATTGCCAGGCACTTTTGAAAAAAATAGATGTAATATTTCACGCCACTGCATCATATAATTTCAGAGCCATATATCAGTCATCAGACCGGAATATAATAATTACATACATATCTCATTGCTCTTTCAATTGGATACATTAATTAAGCTGAAATCAATTATGTTTGATCAACGATTCCGATATGTTTGATCAACGATCATAGAGCAACGAACCGTGTTTGTCGATGGCAAGTGGCCGGTAATGAATGCGTAGCCACTCGAAGCAGAATTCAACATGCCATGTTGTTTGAATGTTGAGTGCTTTTCAAGCTGTCATAAAAAGGTTTTCGAATCCATTTTTTATGTTTAGTACTGATATCTTATTAATATTATTAGTTATATGACTGCCTCAATGATCTAGCGCAGTGATTCCCAAAGTGGTCTATATTGACCCTCAGGGGCCTATGACAACTGCAAGGGGTCTACGAGAGCGGTCATCTTGTTGTTTTTACTTTATGTTTTTAACACTAAACTTTACTCCAGTTAGAAATTTACAAAAAATCAATACCATGGGGGATCTACCCAAAACCGAAAAATGTAGGATCCTCTGATCTAGCGGTTTATCTCACCACTTTACTTACGATGTTCGCGGGCTCCATTTCTCGGGCAGTACAGAATATTTGTATTCATGAGTATAATTTTTTGTATTGGTCTCTGGCTGTTTATATGTATATTATGTAAGAACAAAAAAATAGCTATGTATAATCTTAATATCAGTTACCTAGTACCCATAACACAAGATCTAAGCAGGGCTTGTGTTAAGGGTAGACAGCGCTGTGAGCGCTTGGGACTAGATGGCGCTATGTAAATTGTCCAGGAATGATTATTAACAAAATAGGATTATTTGTATTCATAAGCGTATTTTTCTTTTTTTTCTCGAACTATTCTAATGTTACTGGGCGCAGTTGACATTTATAACTCCACTGATAGGGGCGAGTGCAGATGGTACTCTAAACCCACGGGGGGACTTAAGGAGCGGCAGAGGACTAACCTTTTTTTTTGTTTTTATGTGTGGAAAATCTTCAAAAGACCGTCACCCCGCCGGACGGAGCGCGGGGTAGTGTGTGAGACTTGTACTCACCAAAAACCACACGGTGTACCTATGAGCGCCAATGCTGGAGCCAGGGGATTTGCATGTGCATTTCGACCCCAGCTCCGACGGCGACGACCCGCCCTGTAGATGTTGTAGGGCAGGCCCCATCTCGTTACGGTTAGGGCGCCCTATTTCGCCCTACTCCATTGTGGAGAGTCCAACCCCTGACTGAGGAATATGACTTTAGTCTGAGGTCACTGCTGGGGTCACGACTAAGGCCTTTATAATTTCGATTCCCGATTGAATTGGATCGATCGGAGAGGTCAATGTCTGTGTTTGTATATGTATATTATAAACAAGTGTTCCGCCTAGTCATTTCTCGGGTATTAATAACTGTATTTGAGAGATTGTATACACTGACATAGGCCCAAGTTAGCGACCCCGGACCGGAAAACGAAGCGTGGTCTCCAGCAAGCTGGACCGACGATTTCGTCAAGATCGCTGGAAGGCGTTGGATGCAAGTAGCGCAAATCCTGCGCGTGGAAATATTTGGGGGAGATCTTTGTTCAGCAGTGGAGATCATCCGGGCTGAGCTAATGATACACTGACAGCGTATGTCATTCTGGACTATGTCCAGAATGACATAAGCTGCCAATGTATACAAATTGGGTCACTGTCCCCATTACTAACAAACTCCTTCCCTCCACTGATTTATACGTAATTTACAGTACATTCATCCTGCTGACTATATTCTCCCAATGTATGGGCGAAGTGAAGGTACCAACGCTAGCCTGGAAGAAAGATCAAGGTGTTACTATCAACTGGTTTCCACTTTTCAAGCTATTTCCTGTAAGTATTATTTCATTAAATCTTTATTTACAAGGCTAATTTTAAAATGTAAACTTTTAAAGCTAATTAAAAAGAAGCAGAGGCTTAGAAGGCAGGCAGGCTTCTGCCCAAACAACCAAAACTTCCATACACATTAGTATGGAAAATTCGAGAGTGTGTTTGTCTATTTATCTGACTGTCTGAATGGATTTCAATGAAATTTTGCGAATGTATCACGAAGTCGGATACAGACTATTTGGGCGTGAGGATCTCAGGGTTTGGAGTGAGTTAAGAGGACTATTACAAAATGATGCCGCTCAACTTTAGGTTTAATCGCATGAATGAAACCTAAAGTTAACGTGTAGCGCAATCGGTGTGGATTTAGTATGAACCATTCTATTTGGCGTGAGGATGTCAGGGTATAGAAAGCTATTTTATTGTATAAAATACACAAAACTTAATACGACCAAATTTCATGTGTCTTAACTAACTAACTATCCTATTGGTACAGTTGACATATTTATAAAATAGCGAGCGGATGGGCAGCCGCTAGTGCCCTGGTTTGGTTGGCCTGTTCCTATAGTGGTGGCATTGTTTGTAGTGATTGTCACACTATCTATTATCTCGAAAACCAATAGGGGTGAATGTCCGTGCAAACGAAACGTGGATAACGGGTATGATTTCATAGTTTTCTTCACCAGGTGCTACTAACAATTATGATAATGTGGGTAATATGCGGCATCCTGACAGCGACGGATGTCTTCCCCCACGGTCACCCGGTCAGGACCGACCTGAAGGTGAACATCATCGAAGACGCGCCGTGGTTCCGGATACCGTACCCTGGTGAGTCACGTGCAAGTAGACTGATATTATACTCTTGATCTTATTCATATTATAAATGCGACAGTTTGTGAGTATGGAATTTTGATTGATTTGATTTTGAAACGAATTTTGATGAAACTTTACAGTAATATAGCTTATACATAAGAGTAACATGGAGTATATCTGTTGATGTAAATAAAGTAATGCAGGATATACTTTTTATTGAAATTTAAGTCGGGTGAAATCGCGGAGACAGCTAATAATATTATAAACGAGAAAGTTTGTGAGTATGGATGTTTGTTACTCTTTCACGCAAAAACTACTGAACGGATTTTGATGAAACTTCACAGTAATATAGCTTATGTATCAGAGTAACACATAGGCTATATTTTTTATTGAAATTTAACGTGGACGTGGTACATAATAAAAAAATTAAAACATTACTGATATATCATTTATACATTTAGTTGCACCAGATGAAGAATAATTTTAATTTAAAGAAATTAAATGAACTAGTTCAAAAGGCGGTCTTGCATGGGCGGTATTGCTAAGCAAAAACTTCCAGATAGCTATTTGGTAAAATGAAAAGATATAAGAAAGAGTAGATGGTGCACGTAAGAATAAAAGAAACATCTGCTTAATAGTACAAATATCAATTAAAAGAGTGGAGGAAAGAAAGGAACTAAGAAGAAGGGAGAAGTAGATTGAAGAAAAGATAAATAAAGTTAGCACTAAAATTTTGTATTCGTTTTTCTGTACTATAATATTATTATCATATACAATTCAAATCAACAAGGACTGCCTCGTTGGTCGAGCGGTTTAACACACCGCTTTACCCGATGGTCGCTGGTTCGATTCCGCGCGATGCAAACATTTGTATTCATGAGTATGATTGTTTGTATCGGTCTGGGTGTTTTCTATGTGTAATATGTGTATTTACGAAAAAAAATCTATGTATTTGTATCAGTTATCAAGTACTCATAACACAAGCTTTAGTCTTAACTTGGGTCTAGATGTCACTGTGTGAATTGTCCTGTAATTATTATTATTATCATGTATAAAGATGTACTTTAAGTATATATTTGTATCGGGTGTTTTATATGTAATATGTATCTATTTACAAAAAAATATCTAAGTATTTATATTAGCTGTCTAGTAGACATAACACAAGCTCCGCCTAGTGTGGGACAAGATGGCGCTGTGTGAATTGTCCAAAATATTTTTTTTTTAATAGTACAAGTTACACAATGTAAGTATAGGTACAATGTAAGTATTATAAAATTCCATATGTACTCGTATTTCCTTCTGGAATTCACCCTTTTCAAATATATGACGTGGTTCATGCAACTAATATGGGTCAAGGGTCACTTATATCGATACTTCATCAAAGATTGACCAAATGACTAAGTTTCCTGTCTGTTTCGGATTCGAATGTTCGACCCGACCGAATGACAATTGATCCATGAAGAGTTCACTGCCGAATACCATCCCTTTGGAACTTAATATAATGGAATTCTTCCTGTCTGGATGACTGAGTGTATAACTTTATACATGGCTATATTTGTAGTAAAGAAATAACTTTAGACAATTTATACATACTCCAAGTCAAAGTCAAAATTATTTATTCATATAGGATCTTTCGGACTTTCGTGTTATCTATACATATAAATAAAATTGGAGTGTCTGTTTGTAATATTGAAATAACCGTTTTTTACTACATGCATATGAATATAAATACGGTACATACACCAAAAGAGCTTATTCCTTTTTAAAAGGCCGACAACGTACTTGCAATTCCCCTGGTGTAGCGGGTGCTCATGGGCGGCGGTAATCACTTACCATCAGGTGAGCCGCATGTTCGTTTGTCTCCTGTGTTATAAAAAAAAAAATTATTTTAATTTGAGATAATTATTAATTTTTTAATGTTATAATTCGGTAATAAGTGATATTGAATTTTTGCCGTAAATTGTACGTCAGTTCAAAGTTACATCGTCCATTCGATCCCGACATATCAGACTCTGAGCAGCCGGACTGTAATAGTTTTGCAATTGTTAAAGGTCAATGGGGTGTTCCGACTGTGAGCGTGGCGGGAGTGCTGGGCATGCTGGCCGGGGTGCTGGCCTGCACTGTGGAGTCCATCAGCTACTACCCAACCACGGCCAGGATGTGTGGTCAGTACTATTATAGAATAAACATACCGTCATGACTGACAAACTTTTTTAAACAGAACTCTTTCTTTTAATATGGAACGAAATAGAAAAGATATAATCATTATGGTACCCCATAATGATTATATCTTTTCTATTTTGTTGTGTTATATATATAGTTTCAATATTATTGTTGAAAAATAGTATAATAATAATAATAACTTTAATTTTTAATTTCCCTACCTTTTGCAATATTTTTCTTTCCAGCTCCGCTCCTATTGGTCGTAGTCTAATGTTATCTAGCTTAAAGCCTTCCTTGACAAATGGACTATCCAATACAAAAAGTATTTTTAAATTAGAACCAGTAGTTACTGAGGTTAGCGCGTTCAAACAAACAAACAAACTCTTTAGCTTTATAATATTAGTGTAGATAAGATATCACTTGTCTAGTACACATAACACAAGCTATTCGCTTGGACCTAGATAGCGCTGTGTGAATGCTTCTGTAATATATATATATACACGTGGTAACTTACCATAGTAATATAATATTACATAGTAATACAGAAAATGCTATCTTAACACATATATATGTCGCAGAATCAACAAAGAGGCTCAATTGATTAACTTCCCCTAGAATAGCACCATCTATTATCGTTATCGGAAACGTCAAGCAGTTTGCTTGGGTGAGGTCGGTACAGGGTACGGTACAGGGTCGGTACAAGCAGTTTTGACAAGAATTACGAAACGTCACTAGTAGTAGTAGTGGTATATTTTATCCACAAGTGGATAGGCAAAGGTACGAGACCATACAGCCTAATCTTCAGTAGTATTTCCATGAAATTCAAAAATTCTTCAAGGCGATATCGCCAAGTCTTTTCATTAATTATAAGACCATGTATGTGTCCATAATTGAAATGTTTATAATTCTCCGATAGTTGCTGTAATGAAGTCGTAAATTGGTTTAAAAGTTGCAGTGCATTTGAATAGTTCTTGAAGCGATGGCGGAATAATCTTATATAGTTCTTGAAGCTTAGCAATGAGCAAAATTCTGTTTAAATTGATGGGCGGCAATCAAAAAATATATGTTCTAATGCGAAACGTCACTTTTGAATCGGGGGTGAGCGCGAGAGGTTGTTCTGCACTCTGTACCGAACTTGCCGCGTTTCCCTGAGTAATCCGTTTGCATCTGGCTGATTGTTGGTGATTTTATTATTTTGTTATCGGGAGTGAGTGAATAGACGATTATACTTTAAATTAAGACTATTATTTCTTGCCTACCACCATACATATATATATGTACATTGTCACATGAACGAGCCCTTAACCCTTCGAACGTTTTGACACAGTTCTGTGCACCCCTCTTAGACTGTATTACCGTCTCGTCACAGATCTGTGCCGACAAAACCGTGAAATCTTTTTAACCAATTTAGTCCTTATTTAAAACGCAATAAGATTGAAACGCATTTGAAAAAATACAGCTGACGCGCGCATACCGCGTCTTGCGACAGACAGACAGAGATGTCTGTCTGTCGCAGCGACCAAAAGTGATTCGAAAGGTATTTGGAATTCTCTATGTTTTATAGTTTGTACTGTGACAAAGCACTATAGTTTACATAAGATACTTGTCGTGCATAGGCCTAGTTGCCCAACATGGGTTCTGATAACGAAGTATCCCAAATAGACCTTCGTTATATATATAAAACCTATAAATAAGCTTGTTAATTAAAGATGAACATTGCTAAATTGTTTTCATTATTGACAGAAGATTGCTCATTAAATCGCAAACTCATTAAATTGGAAAACTGTGTTATTTGTCTGTACAGTATTGTAATCCTATTAAAATTATAAGTACTAACGTTTAAATTGATTGATATAGTTATACGGTAATTATATAGTTTTCATACGAATCATTTCTTAGTATATAAAGGTATTTAAACAATAGAAATAGAAATAGAAATAATCTTTATTCAAATAAACTCATTACAAGCACTTTTAAATAGTCATATTTTGATTCTACCACTCATTCGGAATGCAGATTCATCACAAGAAGAACGAGCAAGAAACTTGTGTGTTGCTCTTTTTAATATATGTTTTTTTTATATAAATAATTACAGTATAACAAGTAAGAGGCATGCGATAATCAACATAGAAATCGCTACGTACTCATTATTAGTGTAATTAGATAATATTGTCAGTGCTATGGATTTAAAGTTTTTCTATAAAAACATTATTATCGTTAAGGAATTCATCAATTTTATAGTAAGCTTTTTTGCAAAGGAACTGTTTTATTTGACATTTAAATCTTTTTTCTGGCAGATTTATAACAGACAATGTATGCATTATGACTAGATCCTCACTGGACACTGCATATTGAATAAATAAACATACAGTGAAATTATGCGTTAGCTTCACAGCAATATGCAAACTTCACCAAGCTCAAGAGGAAACGCCACTACACATCATATGTGGTTGTAGCCCACTCATGTATAAACGTAATATCTCCTTTGGAAAGTATACACTCTATCCTGAGGAGACCAAAACCATCGCTTTTATGAAAATTTTTCAATTCTTGTCCCTGACGGATCTAGGCGTTACTCGGGTGACGAACTTTAAAAAAAAGGGCGTGCACAATAGGTCGCAGTGTTACAAGTCTTAGCACCTGACAGTAACACAAAAAAAAAGGTATTTACCTCTTGAGGCATAGAAGAGTAATTTAGGCTACTTTTATTTTAAAAAAATAGAGTTGCATTCCACGTGGACGAAGTCGCGTGAACAGCTAGTTGTTGAATAAACTTTTAAATCACCTTTTTTAATGATGGTTTATATGATTTGTCTCAAAGAAATCATTATTTTACTTTCTTGTTGCATATAGCTGCACCCCCGCCGCCACTCCACGCCATCAACCGAGGACTTGGTACCGAAGGTCTGGGGACGGTTCTAGCTGGTCTCTGGGGGTCTGGCAATGGAACCAACACGTTCGGAGAGAACGTTGGAGCTATTGGCGTGACCAAGGTATGTTCACTTGGTCTCGAACTGTCGAGAGCGTTGTGATGTAGTAGATTATTAATTATACTGAAGACGTCGTAAGTTCAAATCTGATCGAGTCAAAGAATATGTGTAATTATATAATAACTGGTTCGATGTCAGGTGAAGAAAGTCTTACAGTAGTACACACTATCCTAATGGGGTGCAGATCAGGCCTTGGCTCCCTTGGCTTGGCTTTTGTCCTGGCATCAGTTACGGGAGCAACACAAGAAGCCGAAAGGTTATATGTGATAGTTTAAGCAGGAGTTCGAAGATGAGGTTGAGTATAAGCACGAGTATGTATGTATATATATATATATAAAACATCTATTAAAAAGAGCAACACACAAGTTTCTTGCTCATTCTTCTTGTGATGAATCTGCATCCCGAATGATTGGTAGAATCAAAATATGACTATACAAAAGTTCTTGTAATGAGTTTATTTGAATGAAGATTATTTCTTTCCTTCTTTCTTCTTTATTATGAGTATAAGTGTGAGTAGAGTATGAGTTTGAGCCTGAACATTACACAGATAAGATAACAACAACTACAAAGATTACGTATAAGTATGGTTTTATATGTAGCAAAATAATGATCAGGTGGGTTCCCGGCGGGTGGTGCAGTGGGCGGCCGGGCTGATGGTGGTGCAGGGCGTGGTGGGGAAACTGGGCGCCGTGTTCATCATCATACCGCAGCCCATAGTGGGCGGACTGTTCTGCGTCATGTTCGGAATGATATCCGCATTCGGTAATAATAATTACATACATTTATTTGTTAAACAGTAGGTGTGCTATGCACACACCAATACATATTATTAATTCAAGAGATTAAATTACATCGCGTTGCACAGCGCACCTACTACACGTCCCTCCCCAGTCAGATATACGATGTAGTCCCGTATTGTCGTATTACAATCATGATAAAATGTCCTGTGTTATTATTTTGTAAAGATTATGACACCACACCAGAACACGCAATATATATATGAATAGGAGGACCTTATATTCATAATACATTAAGTGATATCATAGACCTGCGAAAAAAACAAACTATTATTCAGTAGGTCTCAAAACAGGTTTTATATCCAAACTTTTTTTCTACAATTCTTTTTTTATTTTTTTATTATGTGACATTAAAAAATACATACAACCATAAATTTTCACCCTTCTATCACCAATCCATATTTTTTAATAGAGATATTAATTTATATGGCAAAACAACGTTTGCCGGGTCAGCTAGTATAAAGTTATTTACTAACTGTGTAGCTGTGACGTGGTCGAGTGGAATGAGTAGTCATGCTCACTAAAATGTCCAGACATGTGGCGGCGTGGTGGGCCGGGTCATTGGGCTCCCTATAATATGGTCGAGCGCAGTGATGGCTGGCTCATCCGTCATACTCGTGAACGAGTGCTGCTTGTAGGGACTGGTCTGCTCTTATCACTACGACTGATTTAGTCTTATTGTGTTTTTATAATTGAGCCTAAATAAATTAGTGCTGGTTGGTAGTTTGTATTCACACGTTTCGACTTATAAAATGTGAACTTACAAGGATTGTTTAAAAGAGCAACACACAAGTTTCTTGCTTATTCTTCTTGTGATGAGACAGCTTTCCGAATAAGCGGTAGATTTTAAAAAAATGTTGACTATTCAAAAGTGCTTAAATTAAGTTTATTTGAATAAATGATTTTCTATTCTATTCTATTCTAACACAATATGGATGTAATCCGAATTAAACAAATAAATTAATTAATCAATTACAGGCCTATCAGCATTACAATACGTGAACCTGAATAGCTCCAGGAACCTGTACATCATCGGGTTCAGCCTGTTCTTCCCGTTGGTGCTCACGCGGTGGATGTCCGCACACAGCGGCGTCATCAACACGGGAGTCGAAGCTGTGGACGCCGTGCTGCAAGTACTACTCTCCACCTCTATACTGGTGGGGGGACTGGTAGGGTGCTTACTGGACAACTTGATACCAGGTAAGTACTATATATTAAGTTCGTAGTTTTCGTCACTTAACATTGAAATAGAAATAATAGAATAGGACGGTACAGAACAGAACAGAATAGGATAGGATGGAATGAGGAGATAAAAACCATCGCTTCTAAGAATATCCTTTAATTCTTGTCTCTGACGGGTCTACGTAGCGAACTCTAAAAAAGGTAAGCATAATAGATCTATGTAGATCGTAGTTAACAACGGACAATATCCCAAACGCCCCAATAAAAAAAATAAGATGGAATAAATATCACAGGATAGAATAAAATAGAACAGAACGGAGCAGAGCATTGCAGAGCAGAACAGAAAATTGTAAAATAAATAAAAACTTTCTACAATAACTAAATAAAAACTCTATGAAATTTTGTCCATAAAATAGAACAATTTATATATAGACGATACACACTTGCGAAATTTTCTTTAAACAAGTTTGTAACTGAATAACTTGATTTTGACCAAAAATGGATTCTAATCGAACAATCTAAGACTGATCTAATTAGAATGATTGAAAATGAATATTACATAAACTCATACGTTGTCATTTAAAACGACTAAGATCAATTTGAATTGAATCTTGTGAGCTAAGAATAATAATCTCAGGACAATTCACACAGTGCCATCTAGTCCCAATTTAAACTACCTAAAGCTTGTGTTACTGGTACTAGATAACTGATAAATTCATTTTTTTCGTAAATACATATTATATATACAAAACACCCAGACTGACACAAACAATCATACTCATGAATACAAATGCTTACGCCGTGTGAGGAATCGAACCCGCGACCATCAAGTAAGGCTGTGTGCTAAACCGCTAGACCACCGAGACCGCCAATAATCCTGATTAGTCCAAATTCTATTCTTTCTTTTTATTTTATTTTTTTGCGTTTTTTTTTGTTAGATTGTATTGTATTTTTTTTACATTGTTGAAAAGCACTGAATATGTTTTTTTCTTTCTTTCGTCTTCTTCCCTCTTAGAACATCATTAACATGTGTATACAGGGACTGATGAAGAGCGTGGTCTGGCAGCGTGGGCGAAGCAGATGTCGCTGGAAGCTGGCGGCGCCTGCGACCAAGGCGATACCTATGACTTCCCTGTTGGCATGCATCTCATACGCAGGTATGTGTAGTACGCATAGAAATAATCTTCAGTTAAATAAAATAATATGTTAAGTTTCTTTGAATAAATATTTCCGGCCATCTTGAGCTTCTTGGCTTAACATTATCTTCCAGGCTAAATTTCGGGGGATATATTCCTCTCTTACGACAAGTGCCCTCGTTCACCCCTTCGATCGATCCCCTGTCCACCTCTTAGATCGATTCCCAGTCCACCCATCCGATCGATCCCTCGTCCAATTCAAACGGGGATCGAAATTATAATGGCCTGAGCTGAGGTTCTAACCCCTAGCGGTGATCAGACTAAGGTCGTATCCGTGAGGCGGAAGTTGGCCTTCAGCCGCTCCATAAGTCCTTCCGCGGGTTTGGATTGCCATTTACACTCGCCCCCTATCGTCCGGTGAAGCTGTAAAGGCCAGCTTCGGACAACAGGTTAAGGGTAGTCCGAAAAAAGGGGGAATTATTGAATGTGGAGCTAAAACGACATCCAAAGAATTAGGCATTCTCTCCAGGGTTAAGAGATACATATCGCCGACAGCTTTCTATAGCTTCTAACACTATACCATGCACAGGTCCGGTCTTGCATGAAAGATTGTTTCATCTTCTGGGATGGATCTGCTCAGTACCAACTTCATACTTTAACCTAGATTCACAGACTGGCTAGGAGACTCATTGGGGACGAATCACTCGTGGCAAAGTGGCTAAGAGGTAGAGAAAATCTTAGCTATCCACATAAAGTAGCGTGTCTATCGGTATTCCTGTGTTATGGGTATAAGACAACATTTTTAAATATGCGAATACATCATTACATAGTATATAAGTCGCTAACGCTGTCTGTCCGTCATAATGTATGCTTAAATTTTGAAACTACGCAACGGATTTTGAAGCGATTTATTTTAATAGATAGAGTGATTCAAGAGGAATATTTATATATATAATACATGTACACCCTCGCGAAGCCGGGGCGAATAGCTAGTATATTATATACACAGAAGATCTATACAAACAATTATACTCATAAATTGGCACTGTGCAAGGAATCGAATCCGCGACCAACGGATGTAAGGCTTTATGCTAAACCGCTAGACCACTAAGGCATTCAAAGATGTTAGAACGACCTCCACATAGTACCCTGGAATCCATCCATTTCAGATTATTAATTTGCTTGAACAATAATGTTTTTGAAGAAAACATTCCTTTCGCGTTGCGAGTAAAGTGAATTGTACTCTATTTTGTACCCAATAAATTCTTATTTTGCAGATGGAAATGGACAAGTTATCTCCCATTCATGCCGACATACGAAGCTGGCAAGTTCACGGCTCTCTTCCACACGAAGAAAGAGAGCTGATATTATCATCATAGACATTTATATCTGGTTTTTTAGGAGGAGAGTGTGAAAATGCAACCGATCATTGTAAATTTGAATTGAAATAAAATTATTTTTTAAACATGAACAGTGTTTCACATGTCCTTTAATTATATACTAGTAGCGTATCTATACATATAAATAAAATTGGAGTGTCTGTTTGTAATATAGAAAAAAACATTTTTTACTACATGCGTATGAATATAAATACGGTATATACACCAAAATAACATATTTTACAATTTTTGTCTGTCTTTTGTTCCGGCTAATCTCTGAAATGGCTGGACTGATTTTGACGGGACTTTATTTGGCAGGAAGCTGATGTAATAATGAGTAACTTAGGCTAGTTTTATTTTAGAAAAATAAAGTTAAATTCCATGCGGTCAAAGTCGCGGGAACAGCTAGTCTATATATACACATATACATATACATATATATATATATGTAATTGAATTGCTGTTCGTTAGTCTTGAACTGTTTTGGCTAATTTTACTCTTGATATATTCGTGGAAATCCAAGGGAAGGTTTAAACGGTGATAAAATATGAAGAAATTACATGTAAAGTAGTAAAAACAACAATTTTATTTTCCCATACAAACTGTCAAACGAATGTCAAATGAATTTCTGAACGCACCCTGCGTTCAGAAATTCATTGCGTAACTACACTTCAAAAAACCTTTAACATATTTAATTTTGAGGCGGAACGGAGTCCGCGTTTTCATCTAGTTAATTAATAAAATACATCGATAGAGAATATCTTTATTCATAACAACTGAAATACATTTCAGGCTACAAGTAATTACGTGCAGCTAGTATACATATATATGTAATATAAATATATATAACTCAAAGGTGACTGACGTAGTGATCTATCAACGCACAGCCCAAACCACTGGACGGATCGTGCTGAAATTTGGCATGCAGGTAGATGTTATGACGTAGGCATCTGCTAAGAAAGGATTTTGATTAATTCTACCCCCAAAGGGATAAAATAGGGGATGAAAGTTTATATGAAACTTTGCCAATTTTAAACCGATCGGGCTGAGACTTTGCATGCATAAAGCTACTATGACGTAGGCATCTCCTAAGATAGGATTTTGATAAATTCTACCACTAAGGGAATAAATTAACGCGAGCGAAGCCGCGGGCAAAAGCTAGTTTTACTATTATATATGAAGCGTAAACACTTTTTATATGCAGCGTATCAATTAGTTAACAGACTAACTGGTAACATAGTATACTGACGTAGGAAATGATTCACAATTCTATACATAGATACGTTACGTACAACTTTTATAAATATTCTAAAAATATAACATACGATTCTATACGTAACTCAAATTAACATTTTGGTTAAGCACACAATGAAGACGCTATGTATGTTGACGGATGAGAAACCCAACTTTATATCAGAGCAAGAAACACTGTTTTAAAAATTAAAACAACTGTAAGATTATGAATATAATGGTAATATGATATATTTTGTAAATAGCGCCATCTAGTATTTATAGACCGAACAAAGTTGTTTGTCATAAGAACCGTTACCAGTTCTCTCTCTACTACAGTTCGGTTTATAAATACGGTGGTCGGTAGCTGAATAATCCGTTTTCGTTGCGTGAGCCGCGGCATTCAGTCGACGAGCGCAGAGCGTACCGGTTGTGTTTTGGATGCTAAAGTGAATTGTATTAGAAATGGGTTTATGCCGGTCTTAGTTGGGCCTGGGGGGAAGCTGCAAGTAGTGAAGGTGAGTGTTAATGCATTCTAAAACGGCCTTTTAAACCTACACCCGTGTCACAAGTCACGGGCACTACTTGGGCTTTTCCTTGCGGTAGCCGGCTTCAAAGCCTAACTTAGGCTCATTATAAGTGGACCTTACAATCGTCACGAAGATTCGTCCGGTATTAAAATCCCATCTTACACAACAATAAATAACATATGAGTTATGATATATTTATATAAGATAAAAAGTTGGAAATTGGTATGGATTTCTTTAATCAGTTTTCAACTTGGGTTGGGTGGTATATATAAAAAAATATTTATGGAGTCCTTCGTCTTTGAATACAATTTGTATTTATTGGTAGGGTAAACGCACTATTTATCGTCCCGTAGATCCAGTTTGTCTACATTATGTATGTAGCAAACTGGATCTAAGAGCTAGGTACTTTAAAATTTAAATAATTAAAAAAGAAACTTAAAATCCTAAATAAAAATATTATATTATGAATCATCTGCCAAGCCATTCATCTTAATCATCTGGATGAATGGCGATCCTCCACAGTGCGGTTTTTTAGAAAGTTTTTGCCACGCACAACCACATTGTGGAATCACCTTCCAGCAATGGTATTTCCGAACCGATATGATATTGAAACCTTCAAGAAAAGAGCTTATTTCTTTTAAAAACGCCGACAACATACTTGCAATTCCCCTGGTGTTGCGGGTGCTCATAGGCGGCGGTAATCACTTACCATCAGGTGAGCCGCATGCTCGTTTGTTCCCTGTGTTATAAAAAAAAATAGTTAAATCCACACGAACGAAGTCGCCGGTACGAGCTACATATATAATATGTCACTTTACTATACGAAGAGTAAGCATTGATAATAATAATAACTCAAATGAAAATTTTTATTTAGCACTCAAAGACAATTGCTATGTAAAGAAGTGAGAAAAAAAAATGTTGAGAAAGAGAAAAAAATATATCAGCACTTTCGTCTTCGAGTACAATTCGTATTTGTCGGTAGGGTAAATGCACTATTTATCGTCCCGTAGATCCTCGGAGCAGTTTGCCGTTGTTTATGGCACGTTTCCGGGCGTTTGTCAACAACAAACAGTTTGGTGGCAATTTCGCGTGCGGCACGCACATTGCCATTGTGTAATCCACTACACTGATTGTTATTGTCAAATGCCGTGTAATTTTTTTATTAATCTCTTGTTGTATTTTATACGAGGCTGAATAGGCTAAAATATATATTATAACACCCTTAGTGCTTTCTGCTTGATAACAAATCAAATCATTTATTCGTGTAGGACACTTTTTTTATTTTTCTTTTTTACTTTTTCAATTTTTGTATTAATATTTTTTCGACCGTCCAGTTCAGTATACAGTTGAGAACTGGCAAGAAACTCAACTGAACTTCTTTTCTTTCCAGTTTATTTACAATATGTACTTATATAGGTGTCTATGTCTAACATTAAATGAAAATCCCGTGCATGAAACACTATTGCCATGCACGTTTGTCATTCAATTGTGTAATTAAGGGGGTCTTCCTATGTGACGGCCTGTTTTTTAGGGATATTTTAGGATTTTTTTTCTACGACCAGTAAATATTTAGAGCTTCAAGTTTTTTATCATTTATTAACACATATTTGGACAGTATAAATATAAAATTTCAGCTAAAAATATTCAGTCAAACTAGAGTTACAGCGCTCTGAACACCCCCGCCTCGAAAAAAAGAGCTCCCACTTCCTCCACGATTCCGGCTGATCGGCTTATCTGAAAAAAAAAAAAAAAACGGCGTTTTAATTTGTAGGCTTAAAAGCACGGAATGACCTATAATCAAATGAATATAAAAAAAATTGGATTTTTGATAGACATTTGAAATAAAAGTTGCAAATTAGGCGTTTTTTTTTTTTGTTTTTTGCTATAAAAAAATCGAAGTTTTGAAAATTATCGATTGATAATAGTTCATTCCATGCGTTTACATATATTGAGTGTGTCCTGTAAATTTCAAGTAATTCGGTCCAGCCGTTTCTGAGATACAATGGAGGAAAGTTTGAAAAACACAGTTTTGAGAAAAACGCGTTTAAAGTTTCAAGTCCGTTAAAAACTATTAAAATATCAACTTACTCTCAATCGGCGATGCCTGGTCCATAGAGTATTCCTTCCTCTTCCTCGTGAAACTCTTTTAAAGCAGATTGTTCAGCTCTTGAGTCAATCCTGGCTTGTTTAACGACATCACTTACGCGCCGCTCAGAGCGTAAGATTCGCTTTTCATCCCGTTTCTCAACATACGCTTGGGCTTCACGACCAACAGGGCATCCCATAATCGACATAACTTTTAAAATACCTTGAAAACCTTCATTAAAGATAATAACTGCTAAGTAGCTAGCAATTTCAACAACTTTGGGACCAGAATGAAGATGTTTAGGAGCGAAAGTCCAAATCAAAGAATTCAAAGATTCGTTATTGTTTTGTGTCTCTGCTCCTAAACAACGAATTAATAATTCTTCTTTCAATAAATCTTCGAAAACCGGTTTGATAGCTTCTTGGACTTGCGGAATTAGAGGTGGTTTATCGTGATGAAATTGGTCCAGTTCATTATTAGCTTCAGCCTTACGCCATTTACACCAACTGTCTTCGCCTTCTGGACAAAATTGATGCTGAGGGTTTTTTTACTACGACCAGGATGAACATTTCCACTCGTACTTCCTTTCCGTCCACTCATTATGAAAAAAAATAATTTGTAGCTGTTGCTCTCTTCGAAGTTCAACCAAGACTAAAATAACTTCGGTAAAATATTATAACAATAGAAATTTCTGTTTAAGTCTGTAGAAACGTGTCTAAACTTGTATAAACAAATATATTAATAAAAGGGAGGCCAGGTATAAAGCCGACGGTACACAATAGGCCCGGTCTCTAACTGCCAACTCACCGCTCCGAACCGCTCTTTCTTTTACCTGCTGTATCTTTAAAACGACTTCGAATTTTCTAAAATCGCTTTACTACCGTATTCTAGACATGTTAAGGGAGCAATTTATAAAAAAAAAAAAAATCGATTTTTTCAACCCATCACATAGGAAGACCCCCTTAATTATATAATTCATAAACTGACATGTGTAAATAAAATATATTGTACGTTATATTAATACCTTAAGCAAAAACTTTATGCCCCTTTTTTCGAAAATTCCGCATTCTCTACCAGCTGACCATTAGGTAAGAACAGAAAGCGGTTGAAGGGCAGTGGTGGGAAAGGACTAACCTATAATTTTACCTAACACAGGTAAATAGGTCAATATATCTAGATATTGATAATAAAATAAGAGATAAAGAATATATATTTTTATTTTCTGTATGCCATAGAGAAAACGTTACTTGTATTTTTTTTAGAAATGAACATGGGATTATACATTCTGCCTTGCATTGCGCTAATGGTATACGTTGGCAGAGAACCAGTGGAGAATAAGATGAACATGAGTTCAGGTTAGTTTGCCTATTGTGACTAAACTAACAGGAATTTACCACGATGATTGGTACATTGCTAGCAATGGGGTCACTCGTCCACCTTCCCCCGTTATTTATGTAGGATACATTTTAGCCGCTTATGGACGTATTTTTTTTTATTAAAATTTCCCTACCGTCTTGTTCAGTATATAGATCCAATTGGGAAGAACTGGCAAAATAAGGCAAGTCTAAGTACATAATCCTGTATCCTGTAATCCTGATACCTCAAGGATGAAAACTGAGCTTAGTTTTAGTTGTAACTAATTCTTAAAATGCGGAGTAAAGTAGTTCAATTTCCCGGGAGACTGTGCTAGCTAGCACATTCTGCCGCGAGCCCTTATATACCTTAGTGAATGGGGCTTGTGCTTACGCTCTTTTAATTATAAAATTTAAGACCACTTAGTCTTGGCACCTCCGATCGATCCCCGTCTAATTCAAACGGCAGTCTGATCCGTATCCGTCAGGCGGGAGTTGGCCTGCCATGCGGAGTGCCATCTGCACTCGCCCCTTTATCGTCTGGTGAAGTTGTAAAGGCCAGTTACGGCCAATAGCATTAGAGTAGTTCGAAAAAAAGGCGAGACCTATTTGACGCACTGTCTGTACAGACGCTCCATCAACGCCTGAGCGTCTGTAGTCTAGGTAACTGCATCCCATTCTGTTATCCTGGTACCTCAAGGATGAAAACAGTTTTATTTCAGTTAATTAAGTTTATGAAATTTAAGGACAGCACGACTTGGAAGGTCCTACAGACTGTGTTTCAAGAAGGTCTGAGCATCAGTAATCTACGGAACTGCGTCGCCTACTGTTATCCTAGTATCTTAAGGATGAAAACTGAGCTTTATTTCAGTTGTAATTCTTTAGTTTATGAAATTTAAGGCCAGTAAGTCTCAAGACCTCACTGTCTTTCAAGAAGGTCTGAGCATCAGTAGTGGGCTGCACTAGAGTTGTGTTTACATTTCGGCGCACGCATTCTAACCTGTTGTCCGGAGTGGGGAATATCGACCGGCGGGCGCGGCGCCCGTGTCAGTCCGGGTCGCACCACGCCCGTAAACGGTAGTGTCACCCTACTGCAGTGTTCATTGTGAGTGCTTTTACCCGTCATGCAGCCGGCAACACGCTGGCTGCACTGAGAGACAACCGTCAGGTAAATATTAAAATATTTATTTCCACAATTTATAGAGTCCCGGCAACTGACATTGTTACCCTATTCGATCGGCCGAATATGCATCTCATGTTTACCTGTTTGGACGTTTGTTGAATGTAAAATCGGTGTTTGAATTTAGCTATTTTTAAACTAAAATCGGTTAGTACAAAGTTCTGTTGCGTTCACGGGTAGACGTGCGGCCCTCATTTCAAAGTTCCATCCTGTAGTCCTGTGATTTTCAAGGTATTTTTCATTCACTATAAATAAGTTTATTACTTTTTTTATACGTGTATTGTTGAGTCAACGATTGTATTTTAATTGCATCGTTCTAAAATAGTGTATCTATAATTTTTTATTACTACTCACGAGTACATAACTCTGGTACGCGTTCTTGTGTTGATAAATGCATCTGCTACTTACTTATGTATTTAAGTATAACTGAATATTACTATAATACTGTTTCTACAGAATATGACTAAAATAGTCACTTATAAATACTTATATTTACGTTAAACGTATTAAGCAATACTAGCTTACTTGGTTTAAACTTAAATCTTTGTTTCATGCTTTTGTTTACAATTAAATATCGTATTGATTTTTCTTTATAATCTAATATGAACGTTAAATAATTGCTTATCGTATATTCTAAATGAAATAATATAACTTAATATTTCACTTTATTGCAACAAGACATGTCATGGTACATAAAAAATCTAATACGCAATTGAGTAATCTACGCATGACGGTAAACGGGGGTAGTGGATTGTTAAAGATTTTTTGGATTTATTCGCATTACAATAAACACTATATCATCTCTTTAAACTATATTTTAATAGATATATACTTTACTATTAAACAATAACAATGCATTTGTTATTTTAGTATCGAAATACAAATAAACTATGGTTGTAATAAGTTAAAAATCGATAAATTTGAAATGTTACTATTTTTATTTGTAGCTTGGGTAATCAAAAGGAACATATTGCCAGATATGTTATATGGATGTAATATAAATTTAATAATCTTAACTGCGTCGTATTTTTAAACAATAAACCTTAGTATTGATTGTCTTCTGGAACATTCGATTTGTTTTATTTAATTCAATACAATTGAGTTATTTATATGCAAGCTGAATGTATCTTTCTATGATATAAGCTTAGTATTCTTTAGGTTGTGCAATTCTTTTCTAAATGACTTCGTTACTTCTTAGCTTCTATTAGTGTTATTATTGAATTGTTTTGTTAAATCCGAATGAATATTTCTTAATTAATACATGTAATTTACACATTTCGACGTATAAATGTAAAGTTACAACATTTATTTATAAGAGCATCACGGAAGTTTCTACTTCGTTCTTCTTGTGATGAGAATATATTCCGAATGAGCGGAAGATAAAAAAAATAAGTATGGCTATTAAAAATTACTTAAATTTAAGTTTATTTGAATTAAAGATTTTCTATCAATTTCCAAAATTTGTTTTGTTCTTTTAAGTTATTTATATGGCGAAATAACAAATGCGTTGTTAACACCAGATTGGTCGTATAAGTTTGTCTCCATCGTAGTATAAAAAATCACTCATGAACGGCTAAACCGATTTCGTTAATTCTTTTTTTTGTTGTAGGTATTCGTTATTGTCATCAGAAGGTTCTTATCAGGGATGTTATGGATATGAAATTTCGGATACGGGTAGGTTTCGGATACAGGAATGATTATTATACCGGATACGGATACGGATGCGGATATGAAATTATTTCGGATCATCTGCTAGTTTCGGATAATTTCGGTTACGGATATTAACTTAAGGAATTTCAAAAGTATAATACAAATAGCTAATAAAATTTTTACATAACGTGTCTCAATTAGGCTCCGCCCCTATCCGATATTATCCGAAACTTTTATTTCGGATTCGGTTACGGTTACGAAGTTCCCCAGCATCCGTGGTTCTTATGAAAGAAAGAATTAAGAAAGTTACGTGGAACATTAGAGAAAATTAGTTGATAAATCAATATTCATAGTAAAAACATGACCACGTCTGTCGGTCGGCTAGTCTTACTAATATTAAAGTTAGTAATTCGTTTTATGGCAATTGCGTAAGGTTTTACAATAAAATACCAGAGTCTGTTATAAATCTGCCAGAAAAAAGATTTAAATGTCAAATAAAACACTTCCTTTGCAAAAAAGCTTACTATAAAATTGAAGAATTCGTGAACGATAATAATGTTTTTATAGAAAAACTTTAAATCTATAGCACTGACAATATTATCTGATTACATTAATAATGAGTGCGTAGCGACTTCTTTGTTGATTATCGCATGCCTCTTACTTGTTATACTGTAATTATTTATATAAAAAAAACATCTATTAAAAAGAGCAACACACAAGTTTCTTGCTCATTCTTCTTGTGATGAATCTGCATTCCGAATGAGTGGTAGAATCAAAATATGACTATTCAAAAGTGCTTGTAATGAGTTTATTTGAATAAAGATTATTTCTATTTCTATTTCTATAAACGAGGAGGTTTGTCAGTGTGTATGGATGGACGGATGTTTGTTTTTTTTACACAATAATTACTAAATGGATATTAATGAAACTTTACAATAATGTAGTTTATACATCAGAATAACACATCTATACATATAAATAAAATTGGAGCGTCTGTTTGTTATACTGAAATAAACGTTTTTTACTACACGCATATGAATATAAATGTACCGTATTTATATTCATGCACAAAAATAACATTTTTTACAATTTTTGTCTGTCTATCTGTTTGTTCCGGCTCATCTCTGAAATGGCTGGACCGATTTTGACGGGACTTTTTTTTAGCAGGTAGCCAATGTAATAAGAAGTAACTTAGGCTTCTTTTATTTTAGAAAAATTAAGTTAAATTCGTGGGTACAACTATACATTTGAAGCGGGTGACTCTGTGGGCACAGCTAGTATTAAATAAAACTCAGCAGTCATTAAACTATCTTGCCAGGAGAGATGCGTGCCCAACAGTGGGTCAATAGGTTGTTATGATTCACTCGTGCTGCTTTTTTAATTTATCGTTTTATGATTATGTTACATTTTTGTTGCTTTTTTGGAGCACAGCACTCGACTAAAATAGGGGTATGTTAGTGCAGGCTATCTGAAAGCGAGTAATATTGTAATTCAAAATATCTTTATTCATGTAGGCATAAGCTTTGTCTATCTGTCTGTTTGTTCCGGCTAATCTCTGAAATGGGTGGACCGATTTTGATGGGGCTTTTTTTTGGCAGGTAGCCGATGTATTAAGGAGTAAGTTAAGATACTTTTATTTTAGATAAATAAAATAAATTTAACGCGGACGAAGTCGCGGGAGCAGCTAGTACTGTATAAAATCCTTGGACAATTCACACAGCGCCATCTAGTCCCAAATTAAGCAGAGCTTATGTTATGTGTACTAAATAAATGGCATAAATACTTACATTTTTTTGTAAACAAACACCTAGACAGGTACAAATAATCATACTCATGAATACAAATGTTAGTACCGTGCGAGGAATCGAACCCGCGACCATCGGAAGTAAAGCGATGTACTAAACCGCTAGACCATCGAGGTCGTCATATAAAAAATGAAGTATAAAAATCCATAGTAGGACACTCGTAGCTATTATCAAGTTACGAGACTTATCACATCACAGTAACAGCTACCGGATAGATAACAGCGCTTCCTGATAAGTTGGTAAAAGGTGGGATTAGCTAGTGTTTTCACTGGTTTACCACTGTATTGCTGCGCCATTCGAGTGGTTACCACACAAGTTCTCAAACGTATTCCATCCCCTAATATTTAGATTAGAAATTTAGATATCATTTCATTACATAGTACAAAACAAAGTCGCTGTCGCTGTCTGGCCGTCCCTATGTATGCTTAAATCTTTAAAACTACGCAACGGATTTTGAAGCGGTTTTTTTAATAGATAGTGATTCAAGAGGAAGGTTTATATATGTAATACATGTACACCCGTGCGAAGCCGGGGCGAGTAACTAGTAACATGTATAAAGTATCTGTGGTAAATTATTCCAAAAAATATCTGTCTGTTCTTGATAATATCTGAAATGGCTTGACCGATTTTGACGGGACTTTTACTCATAGATAGCTAATGTTATAAGGAGTAACTTAGACTGCTTATTATTTATTTTAATAAAAAAATATAGTTTAATTCCATGCGGCTGAGTTCTGAGAAACGGCTCGTTTTTAATAAAAAGTTAAAAGTCTGTTAGAAGCCGAGATTACCGCCGTAATTTGAAATATATTATATTTTTTTTATACCACAACGTTGGAAATCAAGCATACGGCCCATCTGATGGTGAATTGTTACTGTAACCATCCTTTTTTCTAATAAAGTAAACTTTCGTGTCGCTGTGTTCGTTACCAAACTCCTCCAAAATGGCTTTACCGATTTTGAGGAAATCATTTTTATTTTACTTTTAATATGATTTAGCTAGATATATAGTATCTACGTTTCGATCACGAGATGCGTTATTCCTAAATTGAAATTGATAAGATTCAAACTTCCATAGATAAATTGTTATTTTGTCTCTAACCTCTGGAACAATCTATATGTATATATGCGTCGTTTGCATACTATATATGTATATGTGAACGACATGCATACTACACCCCGATTGCACACTGAAAAGGTCGCAGTGCGAACTTTTTATTAGATTTCGCCGTCTCTTTCACACCAGTATATTTTGTCTCTGTCTGTCCGTAAATTGAAGTGAAGCCGTAATGCGATATTGATAGGTTCATTATCGTCTGGTTTTTATAGTCAAATTTATATGAATGCTTGGGGTTGCCATTTTTAAGGTACTTCTAAGGGTCTTATTTACTCTTATTTAATTACTCAACCTGTTGGATGTGTATTTAATTTAATTACTCAACCAGTTGGTTGTGTCATTAATACTTTAATTACTCAACCAGTTGGTTGTGTTTTAATAATTTAAATACTCAACCAGTTGGTTGTGTATTTAAT